GAAGACAGGGCAGCCAGGCTCAGGGCAGGAGGCAGGGCTGGGGTCCCGGAGGCAAAGGCCCCGGGTCAGTGGGTGGGGGGACCCCAGAGGGAGTGGGTTCCAGACCTTGGCATGGGGGTGGGCTAGGAATGCCCAGGGGGTTTGGTCAGAATGGTTGGAACGAGAGTCTGGGTCTAGGGTCCCAAGGGAGAGGAGCCAGGGCTGGGGGTGGAGAACAAGAGCCCAGGGCTCGTTGAGGTGCAGGGGGGCGGTGGGGGGTGACACGCTCACGAGTAGCTCTGGTGCTGCTGGCGCCGGCGGGCGGAGCGCATCTTCTCGAAGCGGGCCTCCATCTCCTCGAGCACGCGGGGTGTGTAACGCACCACCAGCTTCACGGAGCCCTGAGCCGCCTTCAGCAGCTCCACGGCCTTCTCATGCTGTTCGCCCTCGACGCTCTGCAGGGTGGTGCACAGAGCTGGGCCCGGGGCATGGCTGTCCCCCAGCGCCCAGCCCAGACCCAGGACCAACTGCTGGTCGGTCCACACCGAGATGCCAAGGCCTCGTGTCCCTAGGGGAGAGGCCTAAAGTCTTCCATCGGTCACCTCCCCCATGTCATGGGCACTCAGAGGCCTTCGGTCACTGAGCCAGACTCCCAGGCCCGACCTTGTCCCCACCCTCCCACAGCCTGCCAGTCCCCAGCCCCGTCCCACCTGTGTCCGCTATCCTTAGTCCCCGACAGCCGGGGCCCCATCTCAGAACTTGGATAAGTTCTTGCCCCCGGACTCAGGCCAGCCTCCTCTTTGGAGGAGACACCATTGTGTCCCCTCAATCTCTCCCCACAGAGTCCCAAAGGAGCCTTTCTAAACCCCGCGCTGAGCCCACCCCTCTCCTATTCACATCCCTCCCATGGTTCTCCAGTGCTCTCAGGACAAAGTCCAGCCCCCCTGGTAGGCACTCAGGTATTTCCTGGCTGGTCCCACCCACTACACAGCTATGCCTCCATCTCTATCTTTACAGAAGCAGAATGCCACATCTTTCTCCCCCCATAGAGTGGCTGGTACCTTCAAACCACCAACCAGTTGGTTACCAGCTGAGCGCTTAATCACTGTGCCACCAGGGCTCCTTCCATCAACTCTAACCATCAAGGCCAGGCCCTTGTTTCTTCAGCTCAGAGGAGTGCAGAGTCACAGCCCCTACCTACAACACTTTCAGCCATGCACACCCTTCTTCATCTTGTTTGCCTGGAGAACTCCTACTCATCCTTCAAAACCCCTATCAAATACTCCTTCCTCTGCAAAAAGTTCCCTCATCTAGAGCTGTATCTGGGGGCATATCTAGGCTCTCACAACGCCCTATGCTCCTCTGTTACAAAGATCTATCTCCTTGGATTAGGGCTCCTTCGGTCAGGGTCCAGCTCCCTCCTCAGCAGGAAGTCCTTCCCTAAAGGAGCTGAGACCAGCTTCTCTCAGGGTCTGTAGCATGGCCCAGCACAAGCCTCGATCAGTGCGTTGAGGGAACGTCAAAAGCAGAGGCTCTGCTACGTTGGGTAGACCGTGCTCCCAGCCCAGCCGTAGCCCCGCTTACCACGCCATTCACCGACAGCAGTTGGTCCCCACGCTTGAGGCCCCCGTGGCGGTCAGCCACGCCCCCGGGGATGACTCGGGAAATGTAGATGGGGGAGTTCTGTTCCTTGCCACCCATGATGTTGAAACCCAGGCCCTCGTCCGTCTTGGGAAGCTCCACTACCCTGGGATGGGCATGGCCCTCGCTGGCCGTGAAGGCAGCCACCGTGGCCTAGGAGAGAGAAGGCATCGGAAGGGAGGGTCCGCCGGCCGCACAAGTGGGGAACGGGGTGGAGCATCTGGGCCAGGGAGAGCGATTTGGGGGGCATCACTTTCCCCCAGTACAGGCATCTGCCGAAACGCAACACAAGATCACCCCGTAAGGACCCTCTGCTCTGAGCTCACTTTGGATACCTGTGACATGTCAGAGAGCAAGTCTATGTTTGGTGGCAGTGTGTCTCTTAACAGCCAATGCTTGCCAACCTTCCTTTTTTAACAGAGGAAAACATGGCTTGCAGGGAGCTGCTATTCTCCAAGAAGCACCAAGAAACAGCATGGAATTCTATTTTCATAAGGGGTCCCTGGGTGGCACAAAGAGTTGAGTGCTTGACTATTGAACCCACCCAGAGGCACCTTGGAAGAAAGGCCTGGCCATCTAGTTCTGAAATGTCACAGCCTTGAAAACCCTCTGGGGTGCAGTTCTCTGGACACATGGGGTCGCCACATGTCGTAACTGACTTGTCAGCAACTAATTATCTGGGTTCATGTTTTAGTAAGATTTCTGTGCTCAGTGTTGTCATCGTATGGATTTTTAAGGTTATCTTCGATTCAGGCACATTGTTGGTGGTGGTAGGTGCCATCAAGTCGTCTCTGACTGATAGTGACCCCATGCACAGCAGAACAAAACCCTGCCCGGTCCTGTGCCAGCTCCATGATCCTTGCTGTACCTGAGCCCAATGTTGCAGCCACTGTGTCAATCCACCTCATTGAGGGCCTTCCCTTCTTTCGTTGACCCTCCACTTTACTGAGCATGACATCCTTCTCCAGGGAATGGTCCCTTCTGACAGCATGACCAAAGTAGGTGAGACAAGTCCAGCTGCACTTCTTCCAGGACAGATCCATTAGTTCTTTTAACAGTCCATGGTACTTGCAGCATTCTTCACCAGCACCACAACTTAAAAGCATCGATGCTTCTTCAGTCTTCCTTTTTTACTGTCCATTCAGACACGAGGTACTGGATTCTATGAGGAGTTTCTATAAAGATCCCTTTCTTTAGCATTTCCTTAAGTCAAAGATATGAGGTTATCTTAAAAAAAAAAAACAACTACTAAATAAATAAGATGAAAGGTGGTACACAAACAAAAAAACTAAACCCACTGAAACCATCACCATGGAGTCGACTACAACTCGTACAGACCCCACGTGCCACAACAGTGGAACTCTTCTTATATGGTTTTCTGGGCTGTGATTTTTAGAGAAGATTACCAGGCATTTCTTCCACAGCACTATGGGTGGGTTGGAACCACCTATCTTTCAGTCAGTAACCACGCACAAACTGTGGTATAGAGATTTGGCAAAAATGACCAAGGAGGTAGCAGGAATGACTGACATTAAGGAGATGCTAAGCAACAAGGGGTTAATGGACCATGTGAAATTCAGCCTCCATGACTCTGAGACCAGAAGAACTAGATGATGCCCGGCTACTACTACCAACACTCTGAAAGGGATAACAACAAGAGATCCTGGGTAGAGTGGGAGAAAAATGTGGAACAAATCTCAAAATAGAATAAGAGACCAGACTTACTGGTCTGATAGAGACTGCTGGAACCCTCTGAGATTAGACCCTTAGTCATCCTTCAGGCTGGGAACTGAACTCACTCTCTTGGCTCAACTTTTGGCCAACAATAGACAGGCCTATGAAGGGAGTAATAAGGATGAAAGTAGGTAGAATCACAGGCAGGAAGCGGGAAGAGAGCAGTCACACTGTGGAAATTGCAACCGATGTCACAAGACAGAATGTGTATGAACTGTTGAGTGGAAAACCAATGTACTCTGTAAACCTTCCACCCAAATCACAATAAAAAGTTAATTAGAAAAAAGAAGGAGGAAAAAACGCTAAGTTAGACTTTCCTGCGTTTTGAGTGTATACAGGAGAGATGGGGTAGGGGGCGCCTACCTTGGCTGTGGCGTGAGCCCGGATCTCAGCACTGCCGGTGATGTCCAGCGTGTCATAGAGCTGCTCGTACACCTGGGAGAGGACCCAGCGACATCGAGGACCAGCTACACCTATCCTACCTCAGACCCAGGAGGAGTCCGGGCCTCTAGCCCCCCTCCTCCCTCAGACTCGAAAGTCCAGGCCCTGAGACCCTCTCTTCCCTCCTACTAAGAGATCCGCCCCGCCCCTGAATCCCGGAACCCCAGCAAACTACAACTCCCAAAGAGCCCCGGGGCAGGAGCGCGGGCACCCTAAGGCGGACCGCCGCGGGCGCTGCTGGGAGGCGTAGTCCATGGGCTCAGGGAGGCTCTCACCTCCCGGATGGCGGAGCAGAAGCGGCTCTGTAGGACTCGTTGGAGCGCCTGCAGCTTCTGCGGGGGCAGTTCCCCGCTACGCTGGAGCCGCTCGAGAAGTTCCACGGCCCGGGACACGTCTGCGGGGCGGGGGCGCAGAGCCGCGGAGACGCAGCGAGACGAGCCCGGAGAGATGCAGCGAGAGGCAGAGTGAGCGACGCGCTGACACACCCCACGCAGGACGGCCGAAAGCCAGCGGGGCACGCCGCACAGTCACGGCGGCAACGCAGAGACTGCGGCCCCTCGGCGCCCCGCGGCCCCAGCATCCTCCGAACACCGGCAGGGGGTGCAGCGAGCGCCCTCTTCGCGACCCGCTCGCCCACGGACCCTCCTACACCCCAACCCCCCGGCTCCTGACGCCCCGCCCCGCCCACCGCCGCCAGTCGGCCCGCCCACTGGCCCGGGTCTTGCCCGGGTAAGGGCTGGGACGCGCTCGGGGACGGAGATCCGGGCTGGGAGCCCCTGGCGCGCGCTTACCCCTCTCCAGCCCCAGCGGCTCCACCAGGGCAGCCATGTCGCCGCCGCAGCTGCCAGCCGTCCGCTGCCCCGTCGCTGGCGAGGGGGCGGGGCCGCGCGAGGCCCCGCCCTCCTCCCGCTGGAGGCGCTCGGGAGCTGCCGCCGCGGCGACCTGCCCTCCGCCTCAGCCGTCTG